ATAGTTCTTTTTGCTATAAAATAACCAACAAAGGCATAAAAAAAAAAAAAAACTCTTCCATACTTTCACTCTACAGTCATTAGTCTGTTAGCACATCCTAAATATCACTTTTAATTAAGCACTTTTTTTTCTATGGTGGCCTTAAACAATAGGGTGTGAACTTAAGTTATCTCAGGAACAAGGTGAGTTACAGGAAAACTAATTAAATATTTGAAATCAGCAGAAAAAAACTGCATAATTCTGTGCAGTTTGATCAAGATCACTGAAGAAATAAACAAAAATGTCTAAGACCAGTCTGCCCCCTTAAGAGAAACACATGGTCTCCCTGGTCTGCTACACGGGCAGCCAATTTACGACTATGCTACAGTCTCGATAATCTTTGTCCATTTTGATTTTATTATGATCGCTGCACTTGGCAAGCACGAATGAGACAGCTGCCCCAGTTCAAAGTCACAATGGCATATGTTCAGGGAGTGGAAGGTGGACAGCATCAATGCATTCAGCAACAATGCTGTTGCTTTAGTACTGCAGCAATCGCAAGGATCTCCTGTACTTGTCCGTCTGTTCTGGCCGATGTGTTTCAAGATGAGTGTGTAGAGGCACACATGGTTGCCATTGGTAATGCTGCTGGCAGCCGACTGGGACTTGCACAATGGGCTTGGCAAGTCTAGTATTCTGGCCACCTCAAATCATTGCTGGACACATTTTGATTTTAGTGGCCAGTGACTACCTCACACAAATTCATGTATAACGTAAAACTAGACAGTTGGGTTGCAAACGCACTCTGGGTCTAAATCACAATAAATTGGCACGCTCTTGAACACCGTAAAGCAGAAACAGGAGACTTCTTGGTCAATCAGACGGCATTAGTCGCATGCGCTTGCTGGTATGTATGAATGAAGCACTCAAATAAGATCAAAATGACCAATATAATGAGTGCGATGGCACCTCCACATCATTGAAAAACACCATGGAGTTTAAATGCTGGTGCCAAGTTACTCCAGAAGGGCAAGCTATACAGGGTGTTTCAAGAAATGTCTCCAATACTATACAGCATGGACGGCTTGTAACGTCAGTCGCAGGAGTCGCGAATATCCGCACTGTAGTGGTACCGCACTACAGTAAAACTATATTTACTGCTGGAATAAATGTTTGTAAACATCTGAAGATGCCTCCTGCCAAAGTAAACGTTGCAGGTGGCGCACAGATGCCCTCTTTTCGTAATTGTTAAATAATGTATGAACCCGAATACTAGTGAATCTTCACTGTTCATGTCTGCTAGGCTTGGGAGAATATTCAATTCTCTGATGGCAAACATTCCCATCGCCTCAAGTATTCAAATTCACTCATTTTTCCATGTATAACCTGTTAAAGACGTACCTCCATAAAAGTGCACACTGCACTGCCATGAAACCACCATGTCACGGACAGTTTATTCGGATGCAGAAAATTTGGAAACACCTTCATTCGGACACTCTTGCAGCATCTACACTCATCCCATTGAAAGGTTGCACATGTTAGGATTATCATGGCAGTGTCAATCTACAGGTAAATTACTACTGCTGATATCAAAGGCTATGTATGCTTGTTGGCAACACATTAAATGCATTTTGGCTTTAACCAGTCAAGTATCCATCGAATGTCTACACCACAACCGAAATGCAGGCAAAGCCACACTAAGAGTCAGCTTGGCGTGGCACTTGAGGCTTTGCATTAGTGTTGTGTGGCTAAGCCTGATCAGCATCTCATGCTTTGTCTCACTCATTTGTTGCTTAGTATGTGGGGCCTCATCTGCTGAAACAGCTGTGATGCCACCTGTTCCATCGGCGCTGTTGAGACTAATGCAGCAGCTAGAAGAAGTTGACCATTGCAAAAAATAAAAGAGCAGTGATCATTTGACAGGTGGAAGGTGGCTGACCTCATTCTGAAGTTGCTCAAAAGTTGTGCCATGTTGGACAATGATTACCTCATCAGTCCAGCACAGCCATACAATGATGATGACGTGCGGCCCTCGCAACAGCAATCAAGGTATTTATTGGAAGCCTTAGCAGTACTATTGACGTACAGTGATGGCCCAACACTGGCTAAAAAACAGGCCAATTTGGTCGCACATAAGCGTGCTTGTGCATGAATTCTCATGGACAAAACTTTCCAGCCCCTAAGCCAATAAAGGTGCGTTTTTTTTCTACAAGATTGGTTCCTGCAGAATCTGAAAAAACAGTCTGACTGTAAAAGACTTCACCAAGAAGTCAAATGTCAACACGAGTTATTTATTAAATACATGATTCATAGCTGTACATGCAAACTAGGCTTGTGCGAATAGTGATTTGAAGCAAATAGTGATTCTGGTCTAGTAATTTCGAATCGAATTTGAATGCTGTGTATTTGTTATTGTTACAAGCTGTATATTTGTTATTGTTCGCATATTTGTTACGATTCAACCAACCGGCACAATATTTATTTATTTTTTCAATTGAAACAAGGCCAGCACAAATGCCATTCTTCTTGGTTCAAAGAAAGTAGAAACAACTTTGAATGGTAGCAGGACTGGAATTTCGGAAAAGTGCAAACCATAACTTATGCAATGTTACATTTTGATAACCTGTACAATGATAAATTTTGTTGGTTGAAGGGGAGACACGGGTATAAGAGGCCGAAAATTTTCCGAAAAACCGATTTTTTGAAGTATTTTTTTTCATAATCATTAAAGTCTAAGGAAGCCGTTCCTAAAATATTATAGCCCTGTAATGCGTATTTGTCGAGTTATTGGGTCGCAAAGTCAGTTTGATGACCATTTTCGCTTCCAAAACCACCTAAAAAAAAAAAACGGTCGTATTCCACGCCGCAGCGCGCGAGAACCGCGCCAAGTAGCGCGGCAATTTTGGTCTCATTTGAAGACGCAATTTTTCTATTATCTGTTCCTAGCAGAACATTTTTTCGTCCAGCAACAACGCAGCTATCGCGCATAAAGAAAAACTGAATACTCGCACATCATTGGTGCGTTTTTTGTCACGTGGGGCAGTTCCCGGTTTCCTATTGGACGCTAAGGGATTCGTCTGCTAGACAGCGGCATGCAAGCCGCCATTTTGCGTAGAGGCCGAACAACGGCTGTGCATTCGGTGCAAGGGCAGGCGGTCATCGGAAGTTCCGGAGTGCTCATGCGTTCGGAAAAAGGCGAAAACGGCGTACGAGAGCCCGCACCTTATCACCAGCGAGACCTTCTGCCGCCGAGAACTCTGAAGGAGCAGGCTGTGCCAGCGCTATCACCGCCGCGGCACCCGCGATCGCGGACGCGATAGCCACGTCCTAAGATCTCACGAGAGCTGTGCGCGTCGACACTCCCCTGGTTTCCGACGCTGAAAAAGTGGCCATCGAGTGTCGTGCGAGCGATGTTCTGCAAGATCTTTCATCGAAGTCTGCCACAAAACGCAAGCGGTCTTTTTTTCGAGACTCTGATGGAGCCGCAACGCCAGGTACGCCGTTCACCGTCGTAAGCTTAGAGTTGATCAACGAACTTCTTCAGTGTATGAAGTGCGGTGTGTGTGGCGGGCCTGGCAGAATTTCCAAGGAAGACCGTGAATATAGCATAGCCGCGAAACTTTTTCTCACATGTGACGAGTGCGGTAAACTGAGGACCGTATGGAGCTCGCCGAGAGCAGGGGGGAAGCAGCGCATGGTGCAAGTACAACAAGGCTGTTGCCAAGCAGGAGACTCTTCCGAATCATCGCTACAACCTACCGGAGTATGTGGTTGATGCCTTGCGGCCTATTTACACGCGCCTCTCTGACAAGAAATTGCTGGAGCGTTGTCAGCTAGGGAAAGCACAGAACCCAAACGAGAGTCTGCACTACGCCATCTGGTCGCTCGTGTGCAAAAACACGTGTCGCTTTTCACCGTTGAAGCTGCTGTGGCCGAAGCTGTCCCATGGTTCTACGCTGGCAAAGGGAGAGCAGATGCCGCGGCCACTGAAAGATGCTCAGAAAAGGACAGTCGCCGACTAGTGGCATGGGAGAAGAAGCATGAGCATGCTGAAATTTTCAAGCATGCCATGAAAAGAAAGCGCACCAAAGAGAATGATGATGACTACATTCCTGGTGGCTTCTAACATGGTTAATACACCGATTTACACCTTTTCTTGTTAAATATAAGTGCGCAGCAAGTTCCTAAACTTCTTTTCTTGTTTTCTCAAAACAACAATTTTCATCACACCCGAAGCCATTGCCTACAGTATCTTTTGATGTAGCAGTCGGATTTTGATAATTCTTGCAGCATTTGAAAGCTTATACATTGATTAGTGCAAGAAAACCAAAAAAATGTAATATTTTTATTTACAATAGTGATTTAATTAGCAACAAACTTAAGCAACGGTTTCAGTTTTTTAATGAGTATACTTGTTAAGGCCATAACTCTAGTACCAATGAAGCTAAAAATAAAATTATGGTTTTGTTGCACTCCCTGGCCTTCATGGAATGCTGTCATATCAAATTTGTAGCAATATTTTATGAGGAAGATGTCAAAAGGCTGGGCAGAATGCAAGTTTATGTAACAGTCAATATTTAAAAATCAAGAAGTGATAGCAAAAAACTAACTGCATATTTGTTTTCAGCTGTGAAAAATACATAGTGTTAAAATTTCAGCTGGAAATACTGAAAATTAAAAAAAAAATTTTTCAGACCAGTGTCTCCCCTTAAGGGATTGCACAGTAAGCGGTATGCGTATCATGAGGTTCTACGGGAGGGTGAACAGGAGTCGATAAAGACCGCATTGTAACCAATTTTGCCCTATAAGCAGTCGCGTTATAAGTGGTCTACACTGAACACTTATTTGTTCACTTCGAAATTTTAACAATTTTTATTCAAATTGAAGTGAACACCGTAACATTCGTCCGAATATTCGCACAAGCCTAATGCAAACACAACCTAACCATTAGGCACATGCACCAGAGCAGCCAGTAAAGAATATCCTTGAGAGAGGAGAACATAGCGCAACAGGAGTCTTACCTCCACTGAAGTTGTCAGCTGCAGGGCGTCCCCCGTAGCCACCGTCTTGTCGACCCCCATAACCCCTGTCGTCGTAACTGCTGGCGTAGCCACCACCACCTCCAACAGGGGGTGCATAGCCAGCGCCAGAACTCCTGAAGTCACCACCTCCCCTCTCCATTCCCGGAGGCTTGTTATAATCAGTGTTGTAGCCGCCAGAAACATCACCGTAGCCTCCTCCATTGCCGCCTACTCCTACTCCAGGACCCTGGTAGCCATTCCCCATCATGTCGAAGGTGGGGCGTAAGAGTCTTGGTAGCTACTGCGACTGACAGGGGCTTGTCCATAGCCTTCGTCATAGCCACCACCATTTCCATAATCTTGGCTGCAAGATGAATTAAATACAATTGAGAGAATGACAAAAATGTCCCACAGCTGGAAATGCTCAAAAGAACTGGTTTGTCTTAGCTATATGTTCTCATTTAAATCAAGTACACAATAATATGCATGTGGAATAGTCAGCTAGTGTTCATAATATATTCATTTGGATATATTACAACACAATTTTAATGAAGTAGAAGGTAGTTCTTTATACAACAGTTATAACAATTATTACTATAATATACAGTAAAACCCCATCAATTTGAACTCAGTTATTTCCAAATCCCGCTTAAGGGGAGATGCGCGTCGAAAAATCGCGTTTTTCGCGGAATTTTTCAGTTTTGAGATTTTACCTGTAAAATTCTTTGTTTATTCAGCTACAACTCCGCAAAAGATCAAGGCAAAATTCGAACGAGAAGTTAGTAAAAATTCTATTTTATTCAGCCACGGTGGCTCGAGAAAGTGCTAGTTTCGTCGCAAATCAGCAACTTTCGATCGTCTCCATCTCGAGAATGCGGCGTCTCCCGCCATTGCTGTTTGCTTGGAGAGGTTGAGTAAGCCTTCGTTTAGCCTACAGCACCTCCCTCAGTTTCGCATTTTGGCCCAAAATAATAAAAAAAGGCACGTTTTGGCGCCTGTTCAAGCGTTTCTACTGGACATTTAAATCACGTGGTGCTCTAGCGAGGCCGCCATTGGCCTACACGGAGACGTTGCTGCGGCGAAGCACCGAAGCCTGCATCCGTCCTCGACTGTGTACGGCGACTCGATCGAACTCTGTGGCCCTTTTCCTGCGTTTTTTCAGTTATTTCGTAATGAACGAACCGAAAAAGCGCGATTTCCGAGCTCGGAAGGCTCGGGCGAAGATCCCGCACCGAGTGCGGCGTCGCAAACCTCTACGGAAAGTGACAGCGGGAAGCAGCCGCCCGACGCCTCCGGCTAGCCCTAACCAGCACAACGGCCACTCGGACGAAATCGACGCCGCGCTGAACTTTGTGAGCGCTTCGGAGGTGAAGATTGGACTCTTCGAGAACGATAGAGCAGCAAGCGATCGGAACTCTGCGAGTGCTGTGATATGCGATATCAGTGCGCTTACGGTGCTGATAAGTGGAGCTGCTTGCCCTGCGTGCCACACCTGTACCCTCGCGGTACGTGAACCGGTCGAAAAACGGAAGGGTCTCTCGGCGTTTCTCGAGTTGCATTGTGCGAACAGTGAGTGCCCTGAATCGGTACTTTCTTCTGTGCACACCTCGAGCCGTGTTGTGCCTGGTGAGCTTGCGAACGGTGCTAGCGGAAGCCGGGAATATCGGAGTGGGAGCTCCCGCGACAGCTTCGCCGTGAACGTCAAGGCAGTGGTAGCTGCGCGCGCGATTGGCATCGGGCACGAACAGCTTTCACGTTTTTGCGCCATTCTTGGCTTGCCGACGCCGTTACATCACAAGAACTTTATTGCGATCGGCAAGAAAGTTCATGCTGCGGCCATGAAAGCCGTGGAGGAAAACATGGAGAAAGCGAGAGTTCACACGAAAGAGATGGTCGGCAGCAGTGATGTTGCCGTGATGTTTGATGGTACGTGGCAAAAGCGGGGCCACAAGAGCCATAACGGCGTTGGCACAGCTGTGTCTGTAGACACTGGCTTGTGCCTCGATTTTGAGGTTCTCTCAAACTTCTGCCTTGCGTGCAGCCGGCACAAAGACATCGGGAGCGAAGAGCAAGTGTGGCAGGCGTACCATAACCCAGTTTGTGAGAAGAACGTTGACTGCTCCTCTCATGCTATGAAAACTGAGGCAGCAGTGCGCATATGGACGCGGACTCCCTCATATGAGACACCGTTGCGCTTCACCACGTTTTTGAGTGATGGGGACAGTAAAGCCTTCAATGCTGTCTTTGAGGCCAAAGTGTACGGTGAAACATCCATCTCGTGAAGGAAGATTGCACCAACCACGTGGCCAAGCACCTGGGCACTTCAATTCGCAAGCTCAAGACTCCTCTTCCACGTGGCGAGAAGTTGAAGGACGGGCAAATACAGAAGTTGCAAAACTACTACCGCATAGCCATCACCAGCAACAGGGGCAATGTCCGGGAAATGTATTGTGCCATTTGGGCATCACTTTTTCATTCGAGTTCGACGAATGCAGCCAAGAGCCATAAATTCTGCCCCGAAGGAGTTGAATCATGGTGCAAGCACCAGCGGGCGGAAGCACTTGGAGAACCCGCGCCAGACCACACTCCGCTTCTGACAAAGGCACAGGGGGAGGCTCTGCTGCCTATTTACAGGCGTCTCACGGAGAAGAAGCTTCTCACCCGCTGCTTACAAGGGAAGACTCAAAATGCAGCAGAGTCCCTCAACAGCAAAATCTGGTTACTATGCCCGAAGACGAAGTTTGTGTCCAAGACAGTAGTGGAAACTGCAACTGCCATCGCCGTTTTGTGGTATAACTGCGGTCATGGCAGCTTTGAGCAAGTGCTTCAGGAGCTTGGTATTCTGCCACCAGAAGAGCTTGTTGTCCTGGGAAGCTCCCGTGACCAGAGGAGAATGAAGAAAATGTCCATCCGCCAAACCGCTGAAGCTCGAGCCCATCGCCGAAACCAGGTGAAGAGAGCGCGTCTTACGGACTCCATTCGAGAGGGTGCTGAGGGGCAAACGTATGGGCCGGGGGAGTTCTGAACAGCTGTGCTGTGTTTGAGACATATTGCTCTATTTTTGCAAGAAATTTCATGTGCTTTCGTCATGTTTTTGAAAAATACAGATGTTTGAAACTTTCAAAAGCATTTTTCTCCATTTGTACTTTTCAGCATTTTTTACGTTTTGTGCACCACTTTTCAGGTACTTCAAATGGTCAGATCTGGATGAAATTTTGCACACAGCCTCTTCAAAGTGTGTAGAATGTCGATATCTATATGCATTTTAAATATCTCATACATTTTTTGAAAACAATTAAAATGTTGACTCGCAGCACACAAAGTATGTACCTTTGGTATTCCTGATTTTTTTTAGAAATATAGAAATTATTTGAATAAATTTTAAGTAGTATCTAACATACTACTTTACCTAACCAGCAAAATGAGCTATTGCAGGCTTCTCTAAACAGAAATTTATTATTCAAAAAGATGTGCACAAAAAGCCCTATATTTTTCTCTTGAGAGGTGTCTTGCACAAAAACTAATAAAGCTACATAAGAACTAAGCACATATTTGGAATCAGCGTTACAAACTCAGTCTATGACCAAAGTTTCATAACTTTAGGTATAATATTAAAGAAAAAGTGTTTTCGAGGAGCATCTCCCCTTAACTAAAAATGTTTCCGCGGTCCCGTCTTTTGCAATGAAAGTCTGAGCCGATAATATGAAGCAGCAGCGAGAACCAGTCCAGCTAATTTGAAAACTTTGGGTGCCATGTGCCAGTTCCCAATCCAGATTTCAACGCAAATCCACAGAAACAATAGCCCTTAAGAGCCACAAAGCAATGCAACGTAGCAATGCTAATAAGTGGTAGCTGAGGCATCCTGGCCTGCTTAACTAAAAATATTTCCGCGGTCCCGTCTTTTGCAATGAAAGTCTGAGCGGATAATATGAAGCAGCAGTGAGCACCAGTCCAGTTAATTTGAAAACCTTGGGTGCCATGTGCCAGTTCCCAATCTAGATTTCGCCGCAAATCCACAGAAACAATAGCCCTTAAGGGGGCAGACTGGTCTTAGACATTTTTTGTTTATTTCTTCAGTGATCTTGATGAAAATGCACAGCCTTGTGCAGTTTTTTCTGCTGATTTCAAATATGCAATTACTTTTCCTGTAACTCATCTCATTCCCAAGATAATGCAAGTTCAACCCCCATTGTTTAAGGCCTCAATAGAAAAAAAAGTGCCTAATTAAAAGCAACATTCAAGATATGGCAAGATAGACTAATGATCTAAGATTGAAATTATGCAAGTAGTTTCTTTTATTTGGCCTTTTTAGTTATGTTATGGCAAATTGCACTTTCCACTCAGAAAAAGCAGTTGGCATAATATTACAATTTTGATGAGTAATTAATTAAAAAGGCTTGTACTCTAAATTCCATTCCCATACTTGGATTCTATACACATACAGGTTTCCATTGCAAGAAGAATTATTGCTCTACCAGCCCTAGCTGCCGAGATATCGAGGCCTTAAGATTGAACGGAGTCATAAATTCACATTTTGAGAAAAATGGCAAAAACAAATAACACACACTTTATTCAAAAACAACAATAAGAAGGTGCATATTTCACAATGCAGATCTTAATAGCCACCAGGAACATAGTCAGACTGGTGCTTAGCACTGCGGTGGCGCTTCTTTAGTGCTTGCTGGACCTTCTCACTAGAGGCACGCTTGCGGTTTGAGTCGGCCACTCGACGCCTGTCCTTCTCAGTCATCCGTCTGATGCTTGGGAGGGTGGCGTTGAGATTGAGCTCATCGAGGATTCCTGTTGATGTTCTCAAGTTGCCACAGTTGAATTTCATCACTGCCTCGGCAACTGCAGCTTCAACCGCAAACAGTGAAGCATGGCGCTGCTTAGGTGCCAAAGCCCAGATCACGGAATGAAGGCTTTCATTACTATTCTGGGTTTTACCCCTTTGACACCTTTCTAGAAGCCCTTTTTCTGACAGGCGCTCATAAACTGGAAGAAGAGCCTTGCACACATGTTGTGGCAAATTGTAATGGTGCCTCGGAGTGGGCTCCCCTTTGGCAGCAGCTGCATTTTGCCGGCACCAAGAGTCTGGGCCTGTGGGACACAGGCTGTGGTTTGACTCACTATCATTAGAAGTGATGTGATAGTAAATCGCCATCACAGCTCTGTGCATGTCCTCAACATCTCCTTTGTGAGATTTGAGCGCCCAGCCGTAATAGGAGCTCAACTTCGTGATGAGGTCCCCGGTGAGCCTTCCCCTTCCTCCAAGGGTTTCAGAGGCACCTCCTTTGTGCCTTGCTACTAAATTGCGTAGGGCAGTGCCCATACGCTTTTGGACGTGATTGACACAGTCCTCTTTTTGGACTTTGATGAAGCCATAGACATCTGCTTCTTGCAAAGCGAGGAAGGTGCGGCTGTCACCATCTGACAGGATTGTAGTGTACTTGAGGCCATTTTTTTTATGGACCTCTCAAAGAGGTGCACAGCTGCCTCAACTTCCATTTCGCCAGCTTTTTTTGTAGTATTTTTTTGGCACACGTGGCTGTCCTGCCAAGCCTGATATGCCGGGTCGTCTGCCTTCGGTCCGCGCTTGCATCCGGCACAGAAGTTGCTCAGAACGACATAGTCGAGCACTAGACCAGTGAAGAGCTCGATCACTGCCCCCACGCCTATGTGGGACGAGTGCCCGCGCGTCATCCAGGAGCCGTCGTACGAGACTGCAATACTGTCGGCATTGTCAATATGCAGCTCCTTGTAAAGCTCACGAACTGCACTCGCGCACTCGCCCATGACTTTTTCGGCCGCGCGATTAGCTGCAGGAGTCAATTTCCGCTTCACATATCGTTGCCACGTTTTATTGTGAAGTCCGCGATGGGATATGTTCATTGTCGAAAATATATCATTCATAGCTGCTTGACGGTTCCCAGTGGCCTGCATGGCTCGAGCGGCGAGAATGTTGACGGCGAACGAGTTTACTTTCTGTGCTTCATCCACTCGCGGAGAGCTCCATGCTTGCGCGATGTCGCCGCAGTTCACGCAACGCGCACACATTTTCACGGCAAGGCCGTATTGTCTGTCCTGTCTGTAGATGCTGACGCTTCCGTTGCAGATTTTACATTTCATGGCATCTAACAGTTTACCGAAGCAGCCAAGATCGGCGATCAAAAAACTTGCCTCTTCGTTTGGCTCCGCGGGAGCGGCGCCGGCCGGTGCGTCGTTCCTCAAAAACTCAAGTTTTCTCTTCGACGCGGCGGTCGATGCCAGTTCCTGCAGCCTTGCATCGGCCTTTGTGCGCCTTACCTACAGCTCCGATTACGTTAGTAAGGTTGTATCACGGCGGACGCGGCCGCTGCTTAGCGAAGCGTCGGTGACCGGCGGGCCCGCTAGGCCTAACTCCCCGTCGACTCTCTCGGGCACCTCGGCGATTCCTTCGCTGTCAGCGGAGATGGAGGTCGCGCAGTCTCGATGTTCGCAAAGTTCGTCTGCGCGTTCGGGTGATGGATGTGCCGGCGATGCGTCACGTTTGGGAGCATCGCAGGCTGGCGAGGCCGTCAGGCTTGCGTCGGCGGCATCGGCGGGCGACCCATCTCGTTGTTCGTTGACGCTCCTCGCCAAGAGACGCGCCTTGAAGTTGTTCGCCTGAGACTTTTTTCTTTTTTTGCCGAACTTATGCCGTGTATGAAACTTTCGTGCCGATCTAGGCATTGCAACAACTTCGATCGCGAGCACGCTAGTCGAAGCACAGGCACAGGAAATATGTCGGCACGACAACAGGTGTTCGCGCGTTGTTGACGCGCCAAGCAGACGATGCGAGCGCAATCAGCCAATGAAGTGGCCCCCTCGTGGTCACGTGCGCGTAACAACCAATAGCATAGCGTACTTTGCTTCTTTGGTTGCTTTTTTTTTTCGGTAACCAATGAGCGGAGCGAGGCTCTATGGGCGGGAATCGGAAGGTGAAGAAACGCTCTTTCAAACAAGACCGAGATCGCGGCAATGGCGTTCGGCAAACGGCAGCTCTGCATCGCGAAAGAGGTGGTGTTTTTTCGTCAGATTCTGCGCAAATCGAGCTCGCGTGTCCTCTTTGTAATGATATAACAAGTAAATTATCGCTTTCTGGAGTCTGAAAATTGGCAGGCAGGTGTAAAAATGCTTACAGAATTCAAAAATGACATTGAAAAAAAAAAAAACGTTTTTTTCGCGATTTTTCGGTTCCAAAGACCCGTCCGCCCCCTTAAGGGGAGACGAGGCTCTGGGACCGTGAAAAATGGCAAAAAAATCGATTTTTTGAAACTCAAGTTTTCAGTTTCTGGAACCCTTTTTCTACCTAGTTCCAAAATATCTACACTGAAAACCGTGCAGAAGTGCTTCGGAAAATTCGTTTCACCCACCTAGGTAGCAAAACTTTTTGGCGAGAAAACAGCGATTTTCAAAAAATTATAGCTTCGCGATGCTTGGGCCGGGAGCCGGCTTCTTGGGCTCACTGGAAAGAGCATTTTTCCGTGTTTAACTTTCTTGCCTCAGCTGGCTCTTCCCTTTTAGGGGGGAGGTGGCATTGAAAAAAAAAAAAACTTTTATTTGTTGACCTACAGCAATGAAATTTGGCATACATACTCATAAGTGTCTTGAATAGGGAAATATGCAGTTTCATCATGATAGCTTCAGTAGTTCTCAAATTACATAATGCTACATGGTCCAATTACATGGTCTACTCGTGGAAAGCCTAGCGCTGCAATAAAACCATGCCAGGAAGCTGCAAATGATGTTGATCTTTACTCAAAAGAAAGCTACAGGGTATGGCACTCTCAGAATTTTTTGATAAGTTCTCTTTTTTAGAGATCATCATGGCTGCCGACACACATAGTTAGAAACAGTGGCACGGACAAATCATCGTCTAGAAAAATAACAGGGCCATAACAGAAATTGAAGATTGCTGTATTCACAAGCAGTGCTCAGGGATTTAGGAAAAAAAAAAAAAACGGAATCAAAATCGGTCCAGTCATTCCCGTGCTACTCCTTCCA